TGTTATCTGAGACTCTTTATCTTATATTGAAGACTACATTTTATCATTTATGCAAAAATTTAGTATTTTTATATCCTTTGTTCTAGATTATCATTTATATGTGTATGCGGGGAAAATGTGTCACATTTCTCACTATGTAGTAACTATACTTTATTAAGTTTAGTGACATGTTGGGTCATTATACAGATTTGTTTGGTCTCTAAACTAGCACGAGGAATTTGAACGTAGATTTAACATGTTGTTGGACCACCTTCAGATGCACCAATAGAGACCACCTCCAAATGCATGACTCCTTACATTTTGATGATCCCAAAAGGGGGAGAAATAAATACCAAGGAGACATAAAAAGGGGGAGTACAACTTCAAATTTATTTATGAATTTTTCTTTAATTGCTCTGACTCTGTTACTTTATTTTTTTATTTGCTCTGATTCTATTTTAAATTGCTTTGATTCTTTCTAACAATTTCTTGCTTTAAACAATTATATATGATTTTCAGTCTATTATACAATCCACCTATGCTATTTGCATACATGTTTTCAGGAGAAGTCCTATGCATTGCATATAAGTTACTAATAATTTGAATAATATGCTTAAAGCTTGTCTTAAACAGAAACATATTAAGTACAAAATTTCTCTTTCTGAATAATGAAATGAAGTTGAGTTTATCCTTATCTCAAAGTCCGTTAAAAACAATAAGTTAGTTTAAAGTCAATCACGATCTCTTATAAAAGCTTGCTTATTGATTGTGCCAACGTCTTAAGTATATGATGTCTTTTGTTGAAAAGCCTATACAAAATGTTTTTGTTTTAAAGGATCCTTATCAAAATAGAATGCTTTTTTTTAGGATTAAATTTTCAAAAAGACAAAACAAAGAGAAAGTTTTTATAAAAGTATGTTTGTCATCATCAAAAAGGGGAGATTGTAAAATCAAAAGACGATCTTGAAATTCCTCAAGAGGCTATAAGTTTTAATGATAACAAACAAATTTTCTTTAGAAAACTATTTTAGATGAAGCAAACATCTTATTTCATCTGTAAGATGAAGGATATCATATGAAGCACACAATCTGACTCTACTAAATTTATTTCTCGTTATACAAGTCAGATTATCCTTTAAGAGACACTAATACTTTATTCCTTAAACATACCAAATGAGAAAGCTTCCTCAAAGACACCGAAAGGTTGTATGAATGAAATGACAAATCCTTACGCTAAGAAAGAAAGAGAAGAATCTCGAAAATCATGAAAAAGTAGACATGAAGTTTGAACATGCTACACTACTCTGATTTATCCACTACTTTTCAACCTACCTGACAAAATGATGATAATTAGCTACTAAGACCAAATAAGATGAACCTTTTCACACAATTTATTAAATGCTTGCAGTAACGGCTAATTCACTATCTCTTTGGTCTAAAAGAAAAAACAAATGAAGCATCTTGAGAAAAGTGATCAATGGCCATTTTCCTCCAAGCTACTATATAAGGGATTCTCAATCAAAGCAGAAAATAGAGACAACAAGGAAAAGTAACATGAAAAGAAACGAAGTTCATACCTTGTAGATACATTCTATCTTGTATAGTTTATTTGTGCTTAATTTTCGTAGCATCACGTCTAAAAAAGACGAAGCTATCTTTGTAACTCTTTTCAAATCTATTTGTAAGGGTTGAACTTGAAGAGGCTTGTTGAAAAAAATACTTGGTGTTGAGCTTGCAGAGACTTGTTGAAAAGAATACTTGGTGTTAAGCCTGGAAAGGCTTGTTGAAAAGAATACTTGATGTTGAGCCTAGAGAGGCTTGTTCAAAAGAATACTTGGTGTTGAGCCTATAAAGGCTTGTTGAAAGAATACTTGGGTAGTTGCTTGAAGAGGCAAGTCAAAGATTACTTAAGTTTTGTATCTTGAAAAAGATAATGGAACTCAATCTGGTTGGATTGAAAACTGGACGTAGTCTTTGGGTTTGAGACGAACTAGTATAAAAAGACTTGTTTCGCTTCGTCTATTGTACTTTATCACTGTGTCCGTAAAGTCTTATTGCTTCACTATTTCTAAAATTGAGAGTTTTTGATATACACTATTCAACCGCTTTTCTAGTGTGTATCTTTTTCTCCAACATCCCTTTACCTTGATGAGCGTAAAAGTCTAGATGTAGATCTCCAAAGTTGTCTTTAGTTGCCTCTAGTTCTCTCACCTCTTCAGATCACATGGATTCACATTAATGTTATATGAGGCAACCCTAGTTTACAAATCTATGTACAGGGAATGCAAAAATCCTAACCCGCATATAACCTATCGGTAAAAGCCCATTAATCTACAATTAGTTAATCCTCTTTCAAATTAAAAGATAATCCATAATAACTATTTAATTTCAAAATATTCCTTTTTAGATAAGAAAATAAAATATTCTCAATTATCCACCACTTAAATCTATCTATTCTGAATAGATAATTATTTAAAACCATAATATATATATATATATATATATATATATATATAAAATCAAAAATTCATTAAAACAAATAACATATATTTATCTCTAATAACTAATATAGCAAATAATTTCACAAAATTTTCTTCAATTAATAAAAAAATCTCATAATTATTTAGAAAAACCTGTAATATTTTTATGTAACCTATTTAATTAATTAAAATATTCTTTCAGTTATTTAAAAACTTAAGATTTATTACAAAATTGATAGCTTAAATGGATACTTGTAAGAATGGTACGAGTCTTTTTTTCTTATTTGTATATAAATGGGATGTGAGCATGTATGATAATATTTATATCTACAGATACCTGCTAAGTAATATTATTTAATTACTTTATATATATATATA